GCCTGACCGCAGAGAAGACGTCTCATTGGCAGGACTGCAACCCAACGCCGGACAGACTGCACCCCAACGCCAACCAGAGCACCAACCGTAGGAAACGACTGGTCAGGCAGTTCAGCTTGTGAGTATTACCTCGGAAGGGCAGAGCTCCTGGGCAGCACTTGAGCCTCAGTGGGAGGGAAAATTCTCCCCGGAAATAAACATCAGAAAGGTTGAAGCATGTGATGCTGCCTCTTCTCTGTGAAAAATTTAATTTTCTTCAGAACAGTGTGCAGGTCGTGTAAGTCACTCAGCCTCTCTCTCAATTTATTGCACGTTAGTAACCATGAAGATGAAGATAATCTCCCAGAAGCCCTTGCAGCCATCTCCTTGCAGAGTACGGGAAAGTCAGGCTCCAGCAGCTCGCTGGACAAACAGATACAGCCGTCCATATACCCACAGGTAACACCCACTCACACTCCTCATATCCGGGGATTATTTCACTCCCACAGTATCATCTAGAAGTAAACAGAGTATATATTGTATATATATATATACTGATGTTTATTCCAGGTGGACAATATGCCAGCACTGGAGCTGGGTAGTCCATGCTGTCCCTCTCCTTCACCCTCCCCCCACCTCTCCCCCTCTTGCTACCGTAGCTCAATCCCTCACCTGGTCCCTTACCTCGCCGCCCATAGCGACAGGTAAAACACCTCCACTCCTCTCTGTGGGACACATGTCAAACATTTCTTAGATTTTAAAGAGAAACCTTTTCACATCAAGATTTCATACAAACAGATCGTATTGTTGAAACACAATGCATTGTTCAAGATTAAATCAACCTTTTTGGTTTGTGATACGAAGGCTTTTCAATCAGGTGGTTTCATTCAGAGTCAAAGGTCCAACGTTTGCAAAAACAAGAAAGACAAGAAAACTTTTCCATCTGAATTATCTTCTTGTATTTTGACTTTTTAAAACTTTTGTTTCTTCTTGTCTCTCCCTTTAATGATCTCATGACCCCTAGATTGTATTTGTTACCCTCTGTGGAAGGGCCTGACCCTCAGGCCTAACCTAATGAACTGTATTTAAAGTAGTTCAAACCAGCTCTATGTCAAACAACTACTACAGTTAAACACAGCTTATGTCTATACCTTAATGCATGAGTCTAATAACACAATGAATAATAATATATCAGTATCAGGAGCCATTTTTCTACAGGACAAATACTTTTACCATAATGGTCAATTTGAATGACCTGTAGGAGCTTTACTTATTTGAGTATTTTATTTACATTTTTCTTAAATTGTTTGATGTAAGTTTAAGTTCTTATTCCACCACTGTGTTGATATTTGTTTAAGCTCAGAACTATTTGAAAGATTTGAAGCAGGTGCAGTGGCCTCATGGGTATTTTAAATACCATGTAACTGCAACATCCCTGGTTTGATCTTTGCCTCTACTGTCACTGTCCAATACAAGCAAACAGGTTTCTAAAGATGGAAATCATTTTGTTGTAATCGGTTCAGGAGAAGAAAGACATCTCAAAGACCTAAAACACTGGACAGCAGTTGCTCTGGACAATAGCTAGTCTGAGCATTTCCTTTTAAATTGATTGTTTTTCATTATTTTACATAACTGTGGAATCTCATCCATAACTGGATTTTGTTTGTCTAATTTAAAATACTGCATTTTAGGTCAAAACTGAGTTAAGTCCAGACTCAGACATTCTTACATCGGTTTTTCCATAAAGGAATTATTATGGCATTTAAATGTATAATTGTGGGCAGGAAAAAAAATCTAATAGGTTTAGCAGAGCAGACTGTCGTCTCTGTGGCTGCTGACTCAAAATGTGAAATTCACATCTTTAAATGTTATTTTGCAGCTATCGCTTAGTTCAAATGAACAGGAACATATATTGTTTGCATAGATATATTTTCCCTGTAGGCATTAGATAACCAAACATAAAGGTTTGACAACATATTTGCTTCATACCCAGTTTGGCTTTAATCTTCAATTCCTCTTTTTATGTTGTTTTTATCATAGTTATTTTCAAACAGTTTTTTTGCTGCCATCTTAATATCTCTTTTAAAAAAGGCCCATTCATTCTCAGTGAGACATTTGTCTGGTTACAAGAAGGAAAGTGTATCTGTAAACTTGTGATAACGTGAGGTTTGTGTGTGTGTCTGCAGCGGGGAGGAAACAAGGTTGGACAGAGAGAAGATACTCAGAGCTCTCCTGATGACAGAGCTCTGAGACCTTGACCCTTGACCTCTGTGACGGACATTATACTGGAGGCGTAAAAAGAAGTCCCAAAGTCGTTGGCTGCAATCAACATTTGTATATTTGCATAATACATTCAGCATTTATAAATATATATTTGCATAAAGGCAATTGTTATATTTGCTTAACTGTTATTTTAGAAGGATGGTTATTTATATTCATTAGATTATAACTATAAGCTAAGTGAGAGAATCAAGTGGACACACACACACACACACACACACACACACTCACACTACAGACACGCTTCAGATGTGACTGGTGCTGCCTGCATGATAACTGTGGTACAGTTTTGGGGTTATGTTTAGGTTTTTATGTGATTTCATCATCACTGTGTCCATGTTGGCGTCTAAACTGTGTTTGAGACAGCGACTGTTGAAGCATCAAGGTCTAAACTTTAAAAAAAACAACCTAAAAGCCAATTCACTTTCAAATCAGTTTGTTCACAATGTAAATAGAAGTTGTATTTAACATGCTGAGCATAACAGAGCAGGCTGTGAATGCTTGTTTCCTTATTGTATTTACTCTCATGTCAACCATCCACTCTGACATGTCAAAACATTTGCAGCATTTGAGGTTGAATAAACATCCTGAACGGATTAATTGAAAGTGAATTCTGACTGTGTGTGGATGATGCTGACACTGGATCGTTCTGTGAGACGCTGCAGTCTCAGTCTGTCCACTGGAAGGAGACAAATCTGCAGTCACGGCTGAAAACACCGATCCTGTAGCACCGGCTGTCTCCAGGAGCAGATCATGATTCACTTTGGGTTCTTTTCATGCAGTCGGTGTTTTCATCTCAAGTCAAGTGAGAACTGGTTTCAGAAGTAATCTTATAAATAGCCATAACCTTGCTGCTCAACAACTTCACTTCTTATGTCACAACCACATCAGAGGGAGTGTTTCACCTCCTGCTGTTCTAAACCTGTTGACTGAGCTCTTTCTGCCCTCAGTTTGATCTTAATAAAAGACACATCATGAGTTTGACAACTCTGTAGTAGCATCTATGGTCTCTGCACTGACATGGGAATGTGGCCCTGCCTCACTTTGCATGCTTGTGCATTAAGTGTGTGTGAGCATGTGTTGTGTGTGAGCGTGTGAAGGCCTCACCCACCCTCTGAGGGAATGTAGTTATAAAGAATATAACTGATTTATCTACCTCTACACACCTGTTACAGTGAAGTGAGTCAGCCTGTAATTGCACCTCTGCTATATCGATCAGTGAACCAGTTAGCACGAGATGCTTCCTCTTCTAGTTCGAGAAGCAGCACAATGGATCTGGTATGAGCCAAAGAATATGCTGCAAATATCCCTAATGTCTAAGGGAATTAGTATTGATATGACATATGTATTTATAGTAACCTGCTGTGGCAAGTGGGTAAATGAAATAATCACATCCTCGTTTAAATGTTTCTATATAACAAGATTTGTGTTGAAATTAATGGACATGTTTAGCTTTTTGAAAAACGCACCCTTACCCTTTGCTTACTCAGACTTAGAATGCAATATAAGTTATGAAATATAACTTTCCCTCATTTTTCAACTTCTTCTTGATTTTAAGCCAAACATGTTAATGTAACAACACACATGACATGGACCAAATCACACATTGGGACTAGAAAAAGTAAGGATGCAAACAAGACAATAATATTGTGAATATTATAAGTTGGGCATCTTGTTACTCTATTGTTGAACCAAAATCGACAGTAAATTAAAATGTATCACCTCTGCCACTGATGAATGGGACACAGGCAGCAGCTCTGACACTGTTACGATCATTATATTAATTTACAGCTAAAGGTGTATGAGTGGAAATCACAACAGCAAATCACAAAACATGTTTTGTCAGCATTTATTAGAAGTTAAGGGCATTGTGTTCTTTTATTTACTGTTTTCCTGTCTGCAGTTGTGTTTGGTGATTTGATGTTTTGATTTGCACTTTGGGGTCACCATAGATTTTTAATTGCAAAAAGAAAAACTAGACAATCATCCCCTCTGCCTGTTTGCACCTCCCCTTCATTTCCTGATATCCTTTGGATTAGACTTCATCAAAGATACAATTATATTCTTTTGTTCTTGAAATGTATAATTTTCATACTTAAATTCTAAAACACATATTTCAAACTGGAATAAAACACTTGCATTATCTCACAGAAGGATTTTTTAAAATAGTAAACAATAACACATCACACTGCTTTTTCCCCCACGTTAGATGACGTATTGTATATTTAAAATCTGCCAGTAAAACAATTTAAGTTAAAGACAAAAAATAAGTATTTAGAGCTTTGCTGTGTGGCTTCTAATAGTGTTGCTGTGCTGGTTTTGTGAGTGGGAGAACAAGTGTGTGTTTAAAAGGGATCAAGTTGGGTGGGGTGCACAAGATTGTATTACACAATGACAAATCTGCCCTTAGGGGGTCTGACATGGTTTTGTCTGCCTTCCCTCTCTCTTCCCCCCTTCCTGCACTCTCTATGCTTCACTTTTCCACCCTGTGTAGAAAAAAAGGCCATCATCTCACATAATGTGTTTAGTGTGTCTGAGGGACAATAGTTTCTTTTCCATAGCTTGTGTGTGAATGTGGGAAACAGAGGACGCTGAGGACAGTGAGAGGGAGATCCCCTTGTTTCACCTGCAGCCATATCCTGTCACCACCAGCTCCGCCTGTGACAGCACAATAAGTACACTGTAACGAGAAATGAAAAGCTCAGAGGGCAAAAAGCGAAATCAAACAACTGGAGACCAGCAGACTTCATGTTGTGTTTATTTATTTTTTCAGCACGGCCGCAGTGGGACATCCTGAGCAGGAGTCTAAGTTCCGACTGTGGGATGCGAGTACAGCAACACGGAGCCCATACAACAACTTTTCAGGGCATAAATGGCAAATAAATTCACAAGGTACACATCAGAGGTGTGCTTCATTTCCTCTCCACTCGCTCTCCAAAGATTTAGTTAACAGGGGAAATGGCAAAGGAATTTTGTTAGACGAAACTGTTAATTCCCCTAACATCAGCGAAGAAGTGTGATGGGACTGATGAATCTTTATGGTACAAAAAAATCTGTAATAAAATCTGCCAGAAACAAGCTGTGGCTCCTGATATCGACTCGGGGAGGTGAGAGCTTGTGACAGAAATATTCCTGAAGTGGGCAACCCTGTGGTGAGGTTACTAGAGCTGGGGCTGTCCTTTGTTTAGGTGGGAATCCAAACACAAAAGGCAAGACAACATTGGCAATACACAACATGGAAACTGACCCGTATAGGGTGCAAAACAAGGGATGTGTGAGATGTCACATTTCTTTTTTTGTTTCGTTTTTTGTAAGTGAAGTCTGATGCAAGGATCGGACTATTTGACAAACTCACAGTGTAACATAGTCATTCGAAGATACTGCTATTATATTCGTTAATAGTCTTATTGATTAGCAGTGCATTGATATTTGGCATAATGTAAACATCATAGTTTCACTACTAACTTCTTCATGCACTAACGCTTCCAATACAATCACTATGTACTGTATCAAATGTGTATAAACATAAATTGTATTGCATAAACAGGTTGAGTATTAAAACATCAATACAGCCATAATACTCACTCATCTTTTTCACACTCGCACACACACGTTCACTCTTCACAGAAAAGCTTAAGAAAAGATTTAGCTTGGTTGCTACTCGGTCATTCTTCTCTAGTTTGGCTAGCAAATATATCAGAGTGATTATAATATCGTAACATGTTTTTAAAAAAAAAATCTCTATAAAGCTTTAAAATACACAATGTGCAATATAAGACAAAACTGCTATTTTTTTGGCTATTGCCACAATGATTTTGGTATAAAATACATTAATTTCTGTTCTTAAAGATATAAATAACACATCTAAAAGACTTTTTCTTTTTTTTTTTTAACCTAACAATACATTACAAGTCACTTTCACATGACCTCTGTATATGTGTGACCCTACAGCAGGGCCAGGTCCAGGTACTGTCCTCCCGGTTTGGTCATGAGAGCAGGGAGGGACATGAGAGGAGCGTCACCTCCGCTGGACTGACCAATCAGACTGCTGTTCAGGAGGGAAACTGACTCCAAGGGACTCTGGAGGGGTGAAGCAGAGAGAGAGGGAGACGGAAGTTTATTATCCCAGTTTAAAAGCAACAAACTCACACCAGCACCAGATGTTAGCCATCACCTTCCGAACAGCTCGAGGGCTACACCTGTAATTACCCACCTAATGTACATAACACTACAACACCAGCAACTGACCGTTCACTAAACCTCGTCCCTCTGAGTTACGTTTTTTTTGTTTGTCAAGCTTTGCATTCTTGCACACATAGAAGTAACAATGACTACTACTGGTATTACTAGTATATATTTTGTGGTCATTTCGCCTTTATTGATAGGACCGAAAGAGCAAAATGGGGAGAGAGGGTGTGGAAGACACAGCTCCGAATGTGGGACACCTGCATTACCAGGTGAGCTAGATAGTTTTAACAATTCTAACTTTAGCAGATGTCTAAATTAACCTTCCCTTAAACGTTTGCTACCTGATGAAGACACCACTACTGTCTACTACTACAGAGCCATGAATTCACATTGTTTTAGCATATCGAGAAATACAAAGCTGTCCGCCATGCATAGTTCTGGCTGTATGGAGAGGGTTTAGTGAACAGTCAATGGACCCTGTTTCCCATAAAAGACTCAGAGGACAGAAATAGGAGCCAGTGTTTGATAAAGAAGATTTGCATTAAAGGGTCCTACAGTCAGAGAACAACATCCAGTCACAAGGATTTAAAACAAAACCAAAGGATTGACTGAGAATCCAAGAAAATTCCTCTAACCACCCAACTCAAAAACATATGTCCATTGTTGCTTCTGTGCGTGGTTAGTGGAAAATTCCCTGTTTAGAAAGAACACGTCACTTGAAGTGTTGAGTCCTGTAACCATCGGTGACCAGTCAAGACCCAAGCCACAGCTACAATCACTGTCTAAACTAAATCCCCCTCCCTGAACCCCCAGCCAATCCTTACCTGCCACCTGCCTCAGACACCTTAAATACACACCCATTCTTTGGGCTGCGTAAGCAATGTCCTGGCCGGGTCGTGAGCATGCATGGGCCCATGGGCGTGCAAGAGAGCATCCTCGGGGGCGTACTGTGGTGTGAGGAATTGGAGGAATAAAAGAGACAGGGGGCTGAAATACAGGCAACCATGGAAGCTAACCTAAAGACCACATGGACCTGTTGAGTCCAGCGCGGAGGTCAAAGAGGCATTCGATAAATTGAATTACCACTCTTATTTTTTAATTTATTATTTAATTAATTAGTATTTAGTGATGAATCACTAAGTATACATTCTACAAACCCACTGATGTGTCATGTCCCTGAGATTCTTTACTCACTTAAAAGTTTTAGGAAGGTTTGAGTTCCTTCAAGTCTAAGCAAGCAGCAGTGCATGAGTGACAGAACAGGGAGAGTAGACGGGATAAACTAGTTTGATAGCCTCAGGGCAAACACAGTGGATGCCTGACAAAACACACCCACAATAGAAGGAGATTTGAATACGACACTTGGATCTTACAGAGAAGCATGTGAACACTGAAGGTACAGAGCACTTGTATAGATTAATAACTAGACATTAAGATGTGTTTTATGTTTGTAGAGAATCATCTCTTACCTGGTATCCCTGCACTGCGTTAATCAGTTCTTTGACTCCATTGCTGCCGTAAGGCAAACCTGGCATACGCACCAACCCCCCTTGGGAGGAGATGGAGGAGGGGGAGGGGAAATATCCTAAGGTGGTCGGTGAGCCAGGCGGACTAGAGAAAGAAAAGAGAGAACACATAGACTGTAATCCTGAAAATATCTAAAGAGCAGGAAAAACTACTTTTAAAAAGGAAAAAAAAATCTGAGCAAACAAAACTTGTTTGTCTGGGATTAACTTTAGCTGTCGACTGTAAATGTTTTTCTCCAAGAGAGAAAGGCCGACAAGGGAGAAACAGAGGTCACTGATGTTTACCAAGTTCTCTGATACCACAGTGTTCAAGTATTAACTACCCTTGTCCCAACCTTTCTCTTTGGTAAGATGCATTTCAACCAAACTGTTCCCTCTTTTACCTTCTCGAGCAAAAGCCAAACAAACCAACAATCTATTTCCCATTTGAAGAACATCTAAAAAAGAAGATGCTGATCATTTTTAGATGACTGTGTTATTTCAGAACTTTTGTTTTCATAAACTCAACAAAATAATGTATATGTCATTACTTCCAGCAATGAAAGACATCTTGAATTATTCCTGTGCACTTATGTGATCAAAATAATACCAATACAAACAGAAGGCTCAGAAAAATCAAACATATAAACAATTGTGGTTTAGTTTCTTATTTGCTTACTCAGCAGCACTCAGCCTGCAAGTAAACACAAAGTCTGAGAGGCTCTGTTTAGATCGGCTGCCACTTCAATCTATTCATTACACCCACAAAGGAGGTTGTGTTTTCACTGCCATCACTTGTCTGTCAGCAAAAAAACTACTGAACCGATTTCCACAGAATCTTCTTGAGGGTTGGGACATAGCCTGAAGAAGAACCAACTATATTTTGGAGCTGTTCTGGACTCCAGACGACTCCAGGGATTTCCCCCCCCCACTTTCTTTAACATGGTGAGATTGGGTGTAACAGAGTGGTTTATTTCATATCAGAAAAACTGCAGATATGCAAACATTTCTACAAACACTTTTGATTAGACAATCTTATCTAACAAATAATTTGGAGGCTGCTCATAAAAAATATGTCCAATGATGATCTGGGGTTCTTACATCACAGTACTAAAGAACGTTGAAAGTATATTATATATATATTTTGGAATTTTATATATTTCTTAATGGGACGATTGGGTCATTTTAAGGATGTCGAGACTGAGAGAACAATAATCCCAATTGATGTCCCTAGAATGAAGAATCAGGTAGTTGGTATCCGTCTCTGTTCATCCTTTAATAATCGCTGGTTACCTGGGGTAGTACGCTGTGTAGTTCATGTACAGCTGAGCTGTGCTGGGGTAGTAGGCGTGTCCTGGTGGCAGGGGGCGAGGGGTCAGCAGCACCTGACCAATGGGAGGGTAGAGGCCAGCGGCGGCCTCTGTAGGGAAGACGGGTGGCGCAGGAGTGAAGGAGTACGACGGAGGCGACAGACCTGGGGAGGAGAGAGCAGAGGGAGAGACGCACAACTTAGAAACACAAAGAGACAAAAAGATGCACACAAACAGCAACACAAGTGTACAGAATCCTGAGGGTGAGGTCTGGTCATTGTTTGCTTCAGAACGCGACGCTCATGCAAACTTGCAAACAATGACTGCGGTAATGTAGAATTGAATATTTGGTTGCCAAGTGAGCAGTTTTCAACTGTGAATTTCTCCATCCCACACATCTAAGTGTCTTAATTTGTCTTCAACTGTGCAGCTCACTTGGTTTCTTACTTTTTATACAAGCTTCTGATTGGCATTAGAGCCCGAATGATATGGATTTTTGGGGACGATACCAATAAAGATATTAGG